ATCTATTGGCTTTAATTATTATATATTATGATGGGAACAAGCCAAGAACCCCCTGAGGCTTACACACTCCTCCTGTCTTCCTGCAGCACAGCTACAACTATAAAGAAGAGCTAGGAAACTTTTGCTTTTAACAGTGATCCCTCTTCACCAAACAACTCCAAACCATAGGTTATGAACTTGGCTGCATTCAACATCATATCACAGTAATCTCAGTTTATACAAGCATACTGTATATAGGTTGCAATGATTCCAATTAACACTAGATGGCAATAGTTTTCTACATCTCTTTGCTGCCATCTAATGATTGTATGAATAGTTGTAGCCCAAATATAGTATGCCTAAGTTTAGGACATATTTTCATTTTCTTTTTGTTTATGAACTGAGGAGAAGGTGAAGGGTGTTCTTATTCCTATGCACGATTTACTATGACCCATTAATGCAATCTTAATAAAATAGACTCTACAGTGGTACCTCGGGTTACGAATTTAATCCGTTCCGTGACTCCGGTCGCAACCCGATTTGTTCGCAACCCGAAGCAAATGTTCCCATAAGGTTCAATGTAATAACTGTTAATCCGTTCCGGCGTCCGCGGACCACGCGTCAAGGGCAGAAAAACAGCCACGGACCGTGCGGCAGGGCGGAAAAACGGCCGTGGACTGCGCGGCAGGGCGGAAAAACGGCCGTGGACTGCGCGGCAGGGCGGAAAAACGGCTGTGGACCGCGCGGCAGGGCGGAAAAACAGCCATGGACCATGCGGCAGGGCGGAAAAACGGCCGCGGACCGCGTGGCACGGGCAGAAAAACGGCCGCGGACCGCGTGGCACGGGCAGAAAAACGGCCGCAGACCACGTGGCACGGGCGGAAAATGGCCGCAGACCGCGTGTCACGGCGGAAAATGGCCGTGGATCCAGTTCGTACCCCGAGGCAGAGTTCGCAAACCGAGGTAAATTTTTGCAGCCGGAGCTGGTCGTACCCCAAAAAGTTCGTAAGCAGAGGCGTTCATAACCCGAGGTACCACTGTACCTTCTGGACTAGTAGTAGAAGACATTGGAGGATTGCCAGGTTCCACTGTTTTATGAGATTCATTTACTGATAGAATTACTGTACCTTGGGTATTGGGCTTTTTAGAAGACATAAAAGCTGTATTTGAAGTTACATATGATATAGTAGACTGAGAAGTAAGGCTTATTGCAGGGGGATTTGCTACGGAAGGTGTGTTCATTGTAGTTTTAGAAGGTAATGAAACAGAAGGAACAGTCTCACTTTTTGCTGTAGAAGTACCTGTTGTGGAAAGCTTAGTGATTCCAGTCGAAGGTGTTGCAGTAGTAGACTGTCTACCACTATCTGGTGCTGGGCTTGCACCTGCAATGGGAGTCTTGGTGATTGCAGTTTGGGAAGAAGTTAGTGACTGGACAGTCCCACCATTTGTTGTCACAAATCTACCTGTTGTGGAAGGCTTGGTGATTCCAGTCAAAGATGTTGCAGTAGTAGACTGTCTACTATCATCTGGTGCTGGGCTTGCACCTGCAGTGGGAGTCTTGGTGATTGCAATTTGGGAAGAAGTTAGTGACTGGACAGTCCCACTTGTCACAGATCTACCTGTTGTGGTTCCAGTCTGAAGAGATGCTTGAGCGGAGGAGCTTGAGGTCTTGTCTGATCCCACTGTTGCTTGGCTTATCCCTGTTACAGGAGAATCAGTGGTCAGAAGCTGTGAAGAATTACCTGTGATGACAGGAGGCTTTAGTGTAGTTACAAAAGGTGGAATAACTGAGCCAGGTACAGTAACAGTCACAGAATTTCCTGTAATCTTTGTAAAGTCAGGCTTCCCAGTTGTACTTGAAGGAGGTGACATGGACTTAGTGGATCCAGAAGAAATGGAAGGTTGAAGACTACTTATCCCAGGTGGCAAAGCTGATGGCTTTGAACTAGTGGTCACTTCCCCTGGGATGGTAGGGGAGGTTTCAGTGGAGGCACTGGTAGCTACAGGTGGAACAGTTGGAGCTGAAAATGTAACAGGCAAAGGGACTATTTAATGTAATGCTTCTATATCTAAGAGTCAAACCCTTCATGCATTCAAGTCATTGAGACTCAAGCATGGCAATCATTATGAAGAGATAATAATACTGAAAGAGTTTCCCTGTGGAAGAAGCTACACAGGCCCTACACGGACTAAATCATGTCAGTAGAATCTTTACCCCAGCTTGTACAACATCACTCTATGACAAAAAAGGGGAATCAATCGAGTGCAAGGGCTAGATTGTACTCTCACAAACCACCAGTGAATTGGGTAAAATCAGAGCCCAGTCTCTCTCTAACTCCTTCCCCCACACCACATTCCCATATCAGATTATCTTTCTCAGTGAGAAATAATAATGCCTGGCCTCTTTCTATAGAAAAAAGAATTCCCCTTAACACTCAGAAATGCTCTGCTTCTGAGCACTAGGCTGGGGGTTAGGTGATAATTCTTCAAAGGCTCAGAAACAGAGCATCTCCAAGCACTGATGTCTTTGTCAATGAAGCATGGTAGATCATGTCCGTGGCAAAAATTACATTAGGAGCAGCGGGGAAACATCACTTTGAAATGGGAACAGCTAGATGCAACTTCCAGCTGCCTCAGCTATAGTCAGGGGATGAGGCAGGCAATATCATGAAGACATAGCACGTAAATTTGGTTTATCGGGGCATGGTTGTGCTGCAGTTAGAGAGATGGAGGGTGGGCCTTTTGTTTAATGTGCTTCAGCAATCTCTGCGATTGCTATATCTCTAAATTTCATTTGCATCATATAAGACATGAGGAAAGCATTCCCAACATACTCGCCAAAGGTGTGACATCTACTGAGATCAATGTGCTTGCTTCTTCCAGAGTACTGGTGTCGGTAGCAATGGCCTGTACAAACAGGAAAGAAGGTGTCAGCCTTTCACACACATGTGCTGATTCTATCAGTCTATTAAAAAAGATAAGATATTAGTTTGGATCTAGTTACATCTGGCAGAGACAATGGTAGTGCTGACTGCCCCCCGCCCATGTGCATGACCTGGGCATTACAGAGGAGACCTGCTCAAAGCATGTTTATGAGTATGGGTGCCAATGCTTTTCTCATTTATCCAGTCCCTGTTTTGCACACCCTATAATGTGAATCTACTGCTTGTAATAGAGCCAGCGGGAATATAATGTTCATATCATGATTTGATCTACTGAGAAGATGGACATTTAAAATAAAAAAAGAACAGAACATATTTTTTTCAACCATTGTGTAGGCAATATTTATTAGAGCAGGACACAGCTTTTATTTGGAGCTACAATCTGAATGTGATTCAGTTGAATCTCCAGATTAAACTGACTTCCCAAACCAAATGCTCCTCCTTCCAAATCAATTCCAAAAACTGAATTGATATGACTGAAGTGTAAGTTCAAATCAAATGGATTTCTGAATTGTCTAATTGAATTAGAGCTGATCCACATTTCCTTCCTATTTACTATAAAGACAAGACAGCTAAAATGATACTTGATCATATTCTATAGGTGTGATAGAATGAAATGAGAAATAGAAATCTTCACTGTGGTTTTTGAATGTTTAACAATTAAATTAAACATAATTTAATTGTTCCTAGAAATATATTCAATAAAAGTGTTTTTGTTTGTTCTGTTTTATTTTGCCTGACTATCTAAAAGCTTTTAAATCCTTACTGAAGGATTATATACAATGTGTATTTTTTAATCAGTAATACAGAGATTTCAGCCTTTTAAAGAACGTAACAGCTAATGGTAAACACTTTGACTCCTGCATTCAATGATGTGCAGACATTAATGTTTCCTGCACAGTCCTGGTTATTTCAAACATTTGCACACATCTGCACCCAATAGAATCATATTATTTGCATATGATGTGGACAAAGTTTAATTTCACTCAGGAAGTCTATATTAAGCAACGTTAGATCATTAGATTGTTGAAAAACAAATGGAACTACCTGTTGTACACATTGCACTACACTTTAATGTGGTTTGTTTGGTTTTGATTTAGTGCATTGTGTTTAATGACCATCAAGTTATTTTCCTCTATCAAGTTATTAGTCTTTTATCTATTTTAAATCAGATTATTTTGAAGTGACAAATGATAATGAGAGAGACAGTAAAGACAGCAACTCAAGACAACAGGGTCATTTGGAAGCCTCAAGCTAAACAGAGATGTACAATAATTTTAGGAAAAATTACCTACCAAAAGGGTAATATGAGATGATGCACTCAGAACTACAGTGGTTTGGATAAATCCTTCTGCAGTAACTCTGAAATCTGAACTGTTTTGTATTCTGTATTTGATGTCTGGATTGATTTTCTGAAAACAGTGAATAAAAATCTACATTAGGCCTTTACCAAATAAACGGCTTCACGAAGTAAATTCTGTTTCTAAGAATTGGTTATATAGTGAGCATTCTATCTAATGTCCTAGATATGATCAGGATTACATATCTTACTTTTCTGTAACCTGGTTTCCCCAGAAATATAATAGAAGTTCAACTCTCATAATTCCCTGGGCAGCATTCACCAGCCTGGTTTATAGAACTGGCCCCTTTTTGATCATCCGAGCGCAGCTCCTTCCAGTTTCACAAATGACTCTTCAGTGCAAGACTGTGCTGAACTAAGATTGGTAACACTTGCCTCCAAGACCCCACAGCGTGGGGGAGTTTGCTTGAGAAGCTGAGCTGATTAACAATTCGCTCAGCTCCTGCTCCAGAGGAAATGCTGCACAGCAGGAATGTCTGCTTTGTCCTGCCCTTTGACATTTTTCCTTCTCTCTTAAAAGGGGTCATAGTGCCTTTTCACCATCTCTCTCTTCTTGAGGTACATTTGGTAGAGCAACTTACGTGTTCCCCTTGCTCTGTTACTAAGGTTAATTTTCTCCCTCACCCACCACAAACAGAGAGAAAATAGTCAGGGTGACCAGTGCTGCCAATTTTTCTGCTCCCACATTTCTGACCAGGATGACCCTCCTATCCTCCCTCTTTTTCATCTTCCTAAGTGGCAGAGAAGACACTCAAAAGGCAGCACAAAACTGCTCCAGAGGGTAAGAAGATTTGACAAGTACAGGAATAAAAATGCATCGCTGGAAGGGATCTGAAAATAAATACAACTCCCTACCCCAATATAGGTTTCTCACATCAACTTCACACAGAAAATGACTTCATAATTGCTATCTTAACAGCCTTTGCTCCTGTGATATTCAACAGATCTTGAAAAGACTAACATCTGGCAAGAAGTCGTCATCTGCTGCAAAGATCTGCAGGGGTTCTGAGGATGCATTTGCTTTCATGATCAGAGTCTTTGCAGGCTGGTCCACAGACACTCTTCCCGTGTAAATGGTTTCCTCAAAGTAGGGCTGATTATCATTTTTCCGTACAACGTCAATTTTCACTGTTGTCTGAGAATATCTGTATGGATTGTTTTCTTGGGAAGCCTGGAAAAAGAGAGAGTGAGAGGCATAGATCCATTCTTCTTAAGGGCTGAAATGCAAAATTTTAATGGAAGGTTGATGGGGAGGTTCTCTGGAACAAGGGTAGGAGAAGGAGAATCTATTTTTTCTGTCAAAGAGTGGGTGGCAGCAACATATCAGAAGGATTCCCCCAAGGATATGGGAAGGTCAGCAGGAGGGATTGCGGGGAAGGGCTTAGGGACCCCCACTTCAGGGAGCCAGAGGGACCAACCCACCACATCCCTTACATCCACCATTACAATAATAATAAGTAACTGGTAATTAGCCCACTATAAAAAAAGACAAATTCAGAGATATCAGAGTAGGTTATGGCCTTAATTGGATCTTCTTTAACTTGCTTCATTGTGTGTTATAGCAGGATATGGCAAGAACTCAGAGCTGATGAGATTTTTTCAGCAATTTTGGGAATCTCAGCAGGAAACAGCAAGGTCTAAATTTTATTTCTCTTGGATCTAATTAATAAGCATGGCATCTATTTCTCAGTGCCTGGCTCAGCCTTGCCCAGTCTAGTGCCCTCTCTTAATTGCTAACCAGCACAACCCATGGCACCAGATTGGGAATTCTGGCCTTGGTAATTATGTCCTCCTGGCAAACACATATTCAAGAGTAACATTTGATTAACAAGATACTAATGTTATCAAAGACTCACCACGATATACAACATGAACGGCTTCAGAGTGTTTGCAGGCTTGTTCATGGTGATGTTTCCAGAATCTTCATTTATTGAGAATGTGTTATAATCATTTCCTAAGCACAATTGGGAAAAGAAAATATTTGCCATGCAAGAAGAGTAGGATGAAACTTCCTGGCAGAAGATTGTGGGACCCTACATTAGAAGTGCCCTTTGTTAGCACTAAACCCAATGCAGTTCCAAGACAGGCAAAGAGTCCCCATTTTTCATGTTAGGGTTTTATATTTTATTTTGTAGCTAGTTTATTCTGATCTTTATTGTAAGGTACCTAAAGAACCTAATATTACAGAATGGCCTGGAGATCTCAATGATTTATTCCTCCAGAGACCTTTCTCAAAGCCTGTCTTACTTCTACTGGATCCTGGCTTGGAAAAATGGTGACCATGCATGGAAATTCCACTTCTATTTTATTTTTTTAAATAGGACCTTCAGCATTTTCTCTCTTTGTAAACAATTAGGGCAGCCTTGTTTAAAAGTGAGATGACTCAGATGCTATCACATCCATGGCTGCAGTGAGTGGCAAGTTAAGTCAGCTGTTGCTTGCCCCGTAAATGCAGGCCCAAGATCACCCAGCTGGCTTTGTGCCTAAGGTAGGACCAGAACTCACCATCTCCCACTTTCTAGCCTGGTGCCTTCACCACTTCACCAAACTGCCATCAATTATATATGGACCCTGAAAATAATTACACAGATTCTGCCTTTGTGGGTTTCAGTCCTGGGAAAATTCACATTAGTTCCATTTCACTGGTATGTGTACAGTAAAAAATAAGTAGTCCCAAACCAAAGAAAGAAAAGGGAACTAACATAATTTTCTAGAACTCTTACATGATCTAGAATGGCCCTAGATGTGTCTGAAAGCTAGGAGTTGCCTAAATGTTTGCTTCACTCATTGCTTGATTGGCTATCATCCATTGTATTAATATTATTTCCTACATCTTTTGCTTAATTCATTCCAAGCACAGATTGAAATAAGCATAACATAGAAGTTGTTTGAATTGAACGAAGTAAATCTATCCATATTTATTTATTTATGTGGTCCCCTTCCAACATCACACTCCCAGCTATAATGTAACATCTTTGATGTGACTTAGCACATGTGTGACCCCAGTCATTGTAGTTTGAAAACCAGGATTTATTAATAGCATGTTGTGAGAATTCAGCCAAGTATAGTTTATTCAACAAACAAGGTTACATATGCCATGGATGAACCCATTCCTGCAGAGATAGTGCTGCTGAAATTGGGTGCCAAAATGGGTTTGTCAGTTTGGGTGTTTTGGGGGCGGTTAATTAATTAAGAAGGACGCGGTGGCTCAGCGGCTTAATGACGCTGAAAGTTGCCGGCCAGAAATGGTCGACG